TTCATAACCGCGTTTGTGTTTAACCGTCGTGTTTAAAAAAAAAAACTTTAAAAAAAAGCAAAATTTAGCTATTTATAATCCATAATAATAACTCCTGTATAGTAATCCCACAACATACTTTCACATCTGACACACAGTTACACTTGAATACCCTGTTAGAAAAGTCTGGTTATGTTTTACGGTGTCTGTAGGGCAGGGCGATTTGGCCTAAAACTACAGTATTAATTGATTGAAAACTCGTTTAAGATTAATTAACGATTATTTAATGTATTTATTTAATTTTTTTGCCCTACCTAGCTCATTGACAAGTTTTGTACAGCAAATATTACAAGAGATTTTTGACTGAAGGGTGCATAACTTGATTTAAAATAATTGAAGTAAAAACACACACTATCTACTATCTATGATTATTTATTGAACATCCACACTGAACTACTGAAATTAAAACACACATTGCCTAAAACGCAGCTCTCCGCAACGCCCACGCTTGTTACTGCTACCAAACCGACCAAATCACAAAGCTAGCACTACACGTCAGTGTGATGTTACATTTCTTTGAGAGGTGCGCGAGTATACGAAGGCTGTGCTGAACCGTACACGTGCAAGTATAATATCATGAAAATATAATAAGTATAAATCATAATAAGTATAAATAAGGCTTAAGAGAGTGGGATCCCATGACTCCACACATGGTAGGGAAAGTAATTGAATAAACTGACATAGAAAACATTTGATCGATTATAGGATCTGAATTTCGATTACTTTTCGATTAATCGCCCAGCCCTAGTCTGGTATAACATTAGCCCCTTTCACACATACAGACCTTTCCGGAAAATTGCCGGCAATTTTCCGGAAAGGTTGTATGTATGAACAGGTCCTTTTTGAAAATACCGGTAAATTCGTTCTGGCTATTTTCCGGAAAGAGAAGTTGTAACATTACCGGCAATTTGCCGGAATGCTGCGCTGTGTGAATGCAGAAGGAAGATTACCGTAATAAGCGCGTGCACGTCTAGAACGTGCTGACGTGAGACGCCTGCTTTAGCCAATCACAACATTCAGACGCGTTTACGTCCGCGCGGTTCATGAGAATAAAAGCCTTTGAATATTTTTCCAGACACATTTAGCTGCTAGAAGTTAGTCAGATCACGTTTATATGTTCTTCTTAATGCCAACTGTGTAAATAATCATCGATGAGATGCTTATGATAAGCCGTTGTTTGTTTACCTTCAAGCTTTGCGTGTGCCTGTGAAAACAGCCTGTGAGCGCCTGCACACGCACATATTATGAATCTCGACATGCGAAAGTGGTCCTGCGAAAGTTGTTCACAATATTGATCATCCACAGAGTTTGTAATTTATAGTCAAATGTTTACAAATACAAGCGCAGCCGTTCAAAGCTCATTTGTAGTGAATGATGTCAGAATTTACCGGTATTTTGGAATGGATGTGTGAATGCTCTTTTCCGGAAAATTTCCGTAACGTCCTCGCCTGTGTGAACAGCGCTTTTTTGAATATACCGGTAAAGTCGTTCCGGAAATTTTCCGGATATTTACCGGTATCACTGTGTGAAAGGGGCTATTGTTGTTGTTTTCCTGTGTGTGCATAGACTAATATGACCACAGTGTAAATGCACAGTACAGTTACCAGCTTACTGCAATATCATATCGTTATGATAACATAACATCGTTGCCTTCGGTGATTTCAAGAAGATAAATTTTTAAAAAAATAGCGCACCTTGAATAACTACATCAGCCACTTGTTAATGTCATATGAAGTAATAGATCGCAATATGATGACGTGTGCAGGTTACAGTGGTGTCCCATTTCTTAGGGCTAAATTTTGAGACCCTTCCCTTCCACACTCAAGGGCCAAAGGGAAGAAGTAAGGGTAAAAAAAAATGTACTGAGATTGGGTCTATTCATCAATCATTACTCCAGTCTTCAGTGTCAGCTGCAGTTACTTGAAAACCATCTTTTGCAACAATGCCAAAGTCTCTTTGGATCAATTTAACATGTCCCTGCTGAACAAAAGTACTAATTTCTATTGGAGGGCCGTGTATGAGCGCGGCCACATGTACAGTATAAAACGTTTACTCGGGGGCCCGTTGTTCATCATTGTGTGCCTTGTCTTGTGTTGGTCTCCTCGTGAGATCCATCACAAGGCCTTTGGCACTAGATCAATCATAGATTGCAAGAACTTTCCTGGGTTACATCAGAAAACAAGCCACAGAACAATACCCATGGAGCGCTCAGACTGGCGCGATCGATCCCCATTACCGATTTTGTGTCATGGCACTGAAATGAGGCCGACCCCCTCCTTTGCCATTACGGGCACGCGGCGATGGGATTTATCTTGCTCGACTTGACAATCCACCATCAGCTGCTGTGTTTACATCCAGACACAACTTTACTTCTGACTGACTGCATTCAAAGGCCCATCACTTCTCTATGGCTGTCATTCATGCGCTCGACATTACTGTAATTATTCCCCGAGTCTGTTTCAGTAATTGCCGTCTGATGGCTTCTCTCCTTGTCGGTTTCTGTACTAATACAGCAGAGCTTTTGAAAGAGATTGCAGCTTTGGCTGTCAATGTGTGTCTGATATGTTGCTGTTGAACGTGCTTTGTTGTTTGGGATGTTAATGAAGTTAATTTGGTCTTTGCAGCTGTAGATATTCGGGTTTATTTGAGCTGTGTTCAGATAATTAAAATGTCTTTTTATGTTTTTGTACTTAAAGGTGCTGTAGTTGATTGTCTTCAGAAACATATTTTGTTGTGCTGGTTGAAAGTCTCGTCATAGTCCAATAGTAATGATTAAAGTAAATGATCTAAATGTATTTATATGTGTTTTTATATTCAGGCATAAGACTGAAAAATGTTCACCCAATTAAAATTTCTCAGGCAGATAATTCCCACAATTCTGATAAGTAGCCTAAACTGTCTGTCAACAAATGTAGATTTGTACATCAGCACCCCTGTTCATGCAGACAGAACTACCGTTTGTGCGTACAATGTGCACATGAGAGAGTGACAGCGTTAAAAATAAATGCTGAATCAAACTTTTTAAAATACTGAATCAGAGTTACTTTTGCTTGCTGAAGTATTTCTTTTAGACAGATAATGTTGTTTAAAACTACCCTTTATTTATTTTTATTTTTTTATTTGGGGGGGATAGGACTTTATTGGGATAGGACAGTGGAGATTTTACAGGCAGGCAAGTGTGGGAGCAGAGATAAGGGAAGGATCGGCAAAGGACCTCGTGCTGGGAAATGAACTCGGGTCGTTCATTTTGAGCATCTTGGGTGAGCATCTTGGTGTTATGTGTCGATGCAGGAACCACTAGGCTATTCCCGCCAACATTTAAAACTATTTCAGTCACTCAAAGTTGATGTAGATTGTGTTGTATTATGAATGGGTTATATGCACAGAAGGGTCGTTCAGCAATTGAAATCTACTGTTGAAAGATTGATGTGACTATTTTCAGTTTCATAAGGTCCTTTTACAGCATTGATAATGTAGCTTTTTATTTAGTTTAACAACAAAACATAAGTAAATAGCACTATTCTGCCTGGTTTTATATTCGCATTGGTTCATTTTTGAACAATGACAAACTGCGACACAGTTCCTATATTGTGGTTGTTGCTAGATCGGATACGATTGTGGCTGGAAGTTAAAGAGGATTATTTATATTATTTATTAAATTTCCCAATAATTGTATTTTATTAATGTCCACCCCAACCCTAAACCCAACCGTCACAGTAACATAAAAACAGTAGTTGTATCGATTATTATTTATGCTATCTATTTAAATACCCAATAAAGTGTGTTTTTTAATGCCTACCCCAACCCTAAACCCAACCGTCACAGTAACATAAAAACAGTAGTTGTATCGATTATTATTTATGCTATCTATTTAAATACCCAATAAAGTGTGTTTTTTAATGCCTACCCCAACCCTAAACCCAACCGTCACAGTAACATAAAAACAGTAGTTGTATCGAGTATTATTTATGCTATCTATTTAATTACCCAATAAAGTGTGTTTTTTAATGTCTACCCCAACCCTAAACCCAACCGTCACAGTACTGTAAAAATATTATTTATTGTTATACAGTGTCATAAAAAAATGCTGCTATATGCGGCCAGCTGCATATCCGATCTAGACTTTACCCTACATTGTTTACCGCTACTCTAAATATTCGGTCTGAAATAACATGTAAGTAACATTGCACACTATGCACACTTAATATTGTAAGTGAAATATTGCACACTATGAGTTTTGCTTGCTACACAAATGAAAATAAGCTAGATATAATACAGTTTTTTATTCTGAATTGAAGTATTATAAAGTTTTCTAACTGGTGAATGACATGATCTGATGGGTTGTCTACTGTCAGGGAGGGACTGTGTTTTCAATACTATTATGCTAATGTTTGCATTTCGGTAGATCACCTACTGCACCTTTAAGCATGTTTTAATTTCAGTTCATTGCTGTGTATGCTTTTGCTATAATATTTGTTTTATTTGATTGTTTTTTAAATTAACAAACATTATTTTATTAATATCTGTTTGGAATTGTTTAATTTAATATTTTTTTATTTAAATTTTATTATTTACATTTTAGATCATTACAAGACCTCATAATTATGTTATTTATCTGTATTTCAAAAATGATTTTCAGTAGTTTTTGTTTTTTTTTAAACTTAAATTTCACCTATTTGCAAACCAGAGTGTCTAACTTTTAAGTTTTTTTGTAATTTATTTATTTAATCTTTATAACAATTAAAAAAATATTTTCTGTAGTTTTGGTCACTCAAACTAAAAGCTGAAAATGTTGCCTGAAGTTGAACTGAACTTTTTTTATTTAACTTATTTTAATCAGCAAAAATTACATTTAATTTAAATGCGTCATTTTTTGCAACAGTTAAAAAGTATAAAGTATTTACACAAAGTAACACTACAACTCTATTCACTATACAATACATTGTTTCTTTTCAGCTTACCTTCACAACGAGGAGATGAAAGCGTCCAAAAACCACTTGAGTCGATGTTTTAAAATCAATTGACGCTCCTCTGAGAGAAGGTGTAGATTGACTGTAGAAAGTGACCCTTCACCCTCCTTTGATAATCTGAGGAGCTGATAATCTGTCTAAATGTGTTGGGATTAGCATGTTAGATGAGCATGTCAGTGATGATGTGTTTGGCTTAAGCTGTGAAAGCGTTCCTGTGAATGTGACTGTCTGGAACAGATGTACTGCTCTTATTGTGATTGTGTATATTTCAGTATAGATATTAAGCTGAGCTAATTGTCACACAGGAACAATGCATTTTTAAGTACATGTTTAAACACATAAATATGTATGTACTCCAGTTTTTTATCATTTTATTTTCATTTTTATATTACTATTTTGATAATTTATTTTAATTTTAGAATGAGTGGTTTTTTGATCATTTTATGTACATTTGTTTTTTTAACTTGATCTGTACTAATTTGTAGTTTGCAATTTTAGTATTTTAACCCAAACTTATTTTCATTTTATTTAATCGCAAAATGACTTACTTTCATTTAGGTTTTATTTGGAAAAAAAAAAGTAATATTTATGAAAATTAGCCAATTATTGTAAGCATTTTAATGAAAAAAAAGAAAAAAAGTAATTTCAATTCTTTGTAAACCAACATGTCTAACTTTTGTTGGACGTTTTTCATCTGATATGTATATTTTATCCTATTTATTTTTATATCACTATTTCAGTAAAGAAACATGGTTTTTAATCACTTCAATTTTTGTATGTTAAGCCAAGGTCAAAGTAAAAAGCAAATATTCACTGAAAGTCTATTTCATTAACCTGCTTGCATCTATTTTTAATTTAAAATAATTGTAAAGCAATGTCTATATTTTGTTAGATATTTTTCATGTAATTTTTATCCTATTTTATTTTTATATCATTACTGTAGTTCAGTGAACAAAAATGGTTTTCACTCACTTTCATTTTTGCGTGTAAACAAATGCAAAAGTCAAAGTGGAAAGTGAAAGTGCATTCAAAGACTATTTTATTTCCCTTCATATTTGACAACTACAATGCTTGTATTATAAAACTACATTAAATGACTATATTATATATACACTTAGGACATCCTATCATTGTAAGAAAATACTGAAATCCATAACCTGATGCTCCCACTTAAGCCTGTGTTACCCTCATCTCATGTGACGACTGCGATTAAAAAAAATAAATAAATAAATAAAAGAAAATAAATAAATAAAAAATTCTAGTTTTATAATATCACTATATTATCATAAATGCAATTATTCGTACAGCCCTAATAATTATGCATTATTTATTATAACCATTTGTACTGTCATTGATAGTTCCACCAAGAACCTTTACAGGGTTTCTACTAAGTCTTAAAATGTCTTAAATTTGTAATGTAATGTGTAATAATGTAGCATATTTGTTGTGTAGGGTCATACACCCAAAGCACTTCACAATCATGAGGGGGTCTCTCCACACCACCACCAGTGTGCAGTATTCACTTGGATGATGCGATGGCAGCCACAGGACAACGGTGCCAGTGCGCTTACCACACACCAGCTATAGGGGGAGTGGAGAGACTGTAATAGAGCCAATTCTGTGGATGGGGATGATTGGTAGGCGATGTTCATTAAGGGCCAATGGAGGGAATTTGGCCAGGACACCAGGGTCACACCCCTATACTTATTACGAGAAGCGCCATGGATTTTTAATTACTACAGAGAGTCAGGACCTCGGTTTACCTCGGTTTAAAAACTAGATTAGGTGTTAAATTCACAGAAATTTTTTCTTGTAGGTCTTAAAGCCTTTTAAACAAGTCTTAATTTTGATATGTCGATCTTTCCAATCAATAACAATCAATTTCAAAAACACTTTCAACCAAACTTTATTTACCAATATGTGTTTGCTGGTTTGTTTTTGTTTGTTTAAAAAAAATTTCATGTATACAACCAGGGTTTGCTTGTTTTGACACATAATTCAAAAAATGTGGCAAAGAAATAACTATTTAGAATTTTTTTTGATTAAGGGTGCTTTCACACCTACACTTTTGTTTCGGAACGTGTCTCGTTTGCCCAGTTAGCGCGGTTCGATTGGCATATGTGAACAGGGCAATCGCGCTCTGTTCCGCGCCAAAGTAATCGCTCCGAGATCGTTTGAATGAGGTGGTCTCGGCTCGATTGAAATGAACCCTGGAGCGGTTCGATTGCAGTGAGAAAGCGATCCGATCCGAGCCCGGTTATATCACAGTGTTTTATGGATATGTAATAGGCTTACGGCTATATGAAGAGAGAATTATGAGTAGGGCGGGAAGTTTCGCGAGTCTCCGGATGCCCGCAAACGAGTGATGATCTCCCGGTAAGCTCGTGTCTCTCTCCCAGTCCTCAAATAGGCATCGTCGCGCACCCTTCTCACCCCATCCTACCGTGTCTCTCCTCAGACACGTCGCGCGCGCACCCTGTCAATCACCATCAAACCACCACCTCTCCTGACAGCTGAGCGGGACGCTGCAAAATAAACCCTGACACTCTGACCAATGTAAGGACAGTTTACTCGCACGTGACTTGTTTTAGCTCTTTTGGTCCGATTAGAAACTTTGCAGTGTGAAAGCGAACCGCTTCCACAAAACTTCCACAAAAATCCACAAAACTTTCCATTCCACAAAACTTTTTTTTTTTTTTTTTGTAATAGAAAAGGTTTCTTTTTAGATTGATAAAACGTTCTTTGAGGATTCAGAAACTGCTCTAGTATGACATTTAATATTTGGATGAATTTTAAGGTTAAGTACACTGTAAAATAAAGGGTTATCTACTTTTTAAAGTCCAATATCTAGTTCCATTATAACAGCATACCCATATAATGTGCAGCATTGCCAGCTATTTTGCCGTGTTGTCAGAAAAGAGTGTGTGTTAAATGAACTGTTCTCTTTCCTGGGCAGTGACTGTGGTGGAAATGATCAATAGCATTTTTTGTAGCCAAGACTTTAATCTATGTGTCTATACAGACATTGATCCTGAGTAACAACTGTGACTGCTATAGCCCTGGCCTTAAACACTGTGTTTGTGTGTTGAAAATGAAGATACAGATCCAGCATTTGACCCAAGTTTATCCAGGAGATTGATTCCAACTTCGTTCACAAATTGTAAATGAACTCTTACCACGGCAGTGACAGCTGATTGCAAGTTTCGGGGTTGTAATTATGGCTCCAAACTGTGACATAAATAAGCTCAAACTATTGCCTATAATAAGTTCCTAATGAAGGGCTGTCATGAAGACAGAGATGTGGATCATATACTCGGCCACATCACTGCATGGACTTTTAATTAAGCCACACAACTTAACCCTAGGGCCGAGTGTCATCTTGTTAGCAGACTGTGTCTCCAAGATAATCATTAAACATTTTAATTACTACCAAAACGGATAGTAATACTGCTGGGGTATATTCAAACTTCACAATCAAGCTTTATGATGAAAGTTGAATTAATTAAATCTCAAAATCATGCTTGGAGCCAAATATACAGCTGGGCACAACACAAACGCCTCACTGTTTCTGTAGCTCTAAGGCTTGGGAAAATGTTAGGAGAACGTTGCACGATTACACACAGAGTAATGTGCTGTGGTCTACTGTACGTTATGCACAAATTCCCATCTGCATAATTACGCCAGATGGTTTTTAATGTATTCGTGACTCTTGGAAAGGTCGTGGGTTCATATTATTCACGAGTATACATGTTTACACAATGCTAGCCATTTTCTGCAGCTTAGTTGGTTCTGTTTACAATTAGGGCTGCACAATAGATTGTTTCAGCATCAATATTGCAATTTGTAGAATGTTGAGTTGTGATTAGAGTTGAGCAGGGCCCACTGTTCAGAACATGTCAGATTTGTGAAGTTATTATAAAGTTTAATCATAATGGAGGAAAAGTTCATTGCTTACAGTACATGTGTTTTTAAGGGCTGTGGCTGTGTGAACATTTCAAGACCGTTTAAAGCATTCAGGCACAAAACATTGTACAATTTTACTTTCGTAAAAACTTTATTAAAGATGCATTTTATTTTATTATTTATACAATGAAGACTTTTCTGTGTTATACTACATTTGATTATTCGAATTCTGTAGCTGAATACTGTTAGAGTTTCAGTGCTTGTAACTTTAGCCCCTTTCAAAGTGATACCGGTAAATATATGGAAAATTTCCAGAACGACTTTACCGGTAAATTCAAAAAAGCGCGGTTCACACAGGCGAGGATGTTACGGAATTTTTCCGGAAAAGAGCATTCACAAATCCATTCCAACATACTGGTAAATTCTGACATCATTAACTAGAAATGAGCTCTAAACAGCTACGCTTGTATTTGTATACATCTGACTACATCTCAAACTCTGTGGATGGATCAGTATTGTGAACAACTTCGATGAAAACATATGGAGAAACACTTTCGCATGTCGAGATGTACATAATATGTGTGTGTGCTGGTGCTCACGGGCTGTTTCACGAGCACACCCAAAGCTTGAAGGTAAACAACAGCTTATCATAAGCATTGTATCGATAATTAATTACACGGTTGGCATTAAGATGAACATATAAACGTGATCTGACTAATTTCTAGCAGCTAAATGTGTCTGGAAAAATATTCAAAGGCTTTTATTCTCACAAACCGTGCGGATGGAATGCATCTGAGTGTTCTGATTGGCTAAAGTAGAGGTCTCACGTCAGCACGTTCTAGATGTGCACGTGCTCTTTCCGGCAATCTTCCTTCTGCGTTCACACAGCGCAGCATTCCGGCAAATTACTGGTAATGTTACAACTTCTCTTTCCGGAAAATAGCCAGAACGAATTTACCGGTATTTTCAAAAAGGGTCTGTTCACACATACACACCTTTCCGGAAAATTTTCGGTAATTTTCCGGAAAGGTCTGTATGTGTGAAAGGGGCTTTTGTTACAATAACATTTCCCGAGTGCTGTATAACATAACTTTTTTAAACATTTCTAATAACTTATTTTGTCTTTGCCATGATTAATATATCTTACTAGTTGTTTTGCAAGATACTGGTCTTCAGCTTAAAGTCCAATTTAACAGGCTTAACTAGGTTAATTAATTGTAACCTAATTAATTTAGGTT